GCTGAAGTTGTGTCACTATGCACAAAAAAATTCAGGGCCAGAGAGCAGGAAGAATAGGGAGCATAACTGTAACCTAATGAAAAAGGTACTCACCAAGGAGAGATAGGTCCTTAAAGACATCTATCTGTAATAGATGCATCAAGACCTCAACTCCCCATTTAGGCATCATCTCAGTGGTGACTATTCAAAATTGTAAGCATAGTATGTAGAAGTTGCAAAGCATAATACCTTTTGAAGGAAACCTAGCTGTCATTCAAAAACTATTCTGAAGAAAGATGAGACTATGGAAATATACATACAGAGCAGGAGTTATTGAAAAGGTATTGGCCTGAAACTAAGAAACCCAAGTAGAGGGAAGGAAGAAAGATAATTTCTCATGTTTCTGAGCAAGTTTCACATCAGTAAAAACACAGAGCATGCAAAATCTACAACGAATTTGTTTTTACCTGCTTATTTGCTCTGTCCAATACACTGTACAGCAAAGGAGGAATTAAGTTTTCAACAGCTTTTCCAACATCACTGCGAAATGAATCACTAGCTGGTAGGCAACTATATAAAAACAAACAAGCAAACTAAATCATATGCCAAATTTAACGTCCTGAAATTGAGTTCTATTATTATACCACTGCTGAAATGCAGAATTTGCTAGATTCTTTTTACTTTAAAAAAAAACAACAACACTGTTTCTTAATTTTTTTTTTAAATAGTTATTTATTGCTCTTAACAGTAAGTCCTCTTGGCTTACATTCCACAAACTAGAATTTGCATAATACTGAGATGAATGAAAGTGATGGAAAAATTCTATAAATTAATTCAGATCCATTTATCTCCTCCCCTCAACTACTTTAAAAGAAAAAGAAAGATGACTGGTTTTGTAGTAAGGTTGGAAGATTAAAAATGTAGCCTTCAGTGGACCACAGAGAGGCAACAAGCAGCAAAACCGGGGACTTCTTGACTTAGGACACACTGTAGCAGCTCTCTCCCATTTATATTGAGGGATCTGCTCTCAAATCCTTCTGCTGAACTTAACTGTGATAGCACATGTTGATAAAAAACAAACAAACAGATTTTTCAGGTAAAAAGATCTAAAGCCAACAGGGTTTTACAGGTTTAAAACCAGCACTTTCAATTCTCCCAAGGAGTTTTTAGATCCTTACGTTATATTCTGAATGCAGAATATTTATGTTAGAATTAAACAGAGCTTACACATTAAGAGACAGCTACTCTCCCAATAAGCATGGATGCCCAGCCAAAATTTATATAAATTGCAAAAAGTTACAGTTACTATTTCAAGTGGCACAGATACTGCATTTAGAGACACCTGGCTTCTATAAAGGTCAAATAGGATTATCGATACACAATTACAGTGGTATAACCAATGTTGTTCGGGTTACAAATTCACCATGAATTCCAGTATACCATATTTTTCTCACATACAGCATGCATCTTCTTCCCAAAAAATCAGACCCTCAAAATTAGGGTACATGTATTAAACAAGGCAGCTGAATTTTTCCCTGAGACAGAAGTACTGTGCTTTGATTCCTGCTCCATAGGGCAGCAGCCTTGGTATTACTATTCAGGCAGCCAAGGGAATCTGCCCTATTAATGTATTGTATTAACAGGAGCGTAATTTGCAAATCAAGGGAAGTGATTCTTCCACTCCGTTCTGCATTCACGAGGCCTCACCTGGAGTATTGTATTTTATCGAGTTTTGGGTCCCACACTTCAAGAAGAATGTGGACAGTTTAGGAAGAGTCCAGCGCAGAGCAACAAAAATGATTAGGGGTTTGGGTAACAAGATTTATGAGGAAAGGCTGAAAGAATTAAGGCTATTTTTTCTGGAAAAGAGAAGACTGAGCAGAGGGCTCACGATGACTTCATGAGGACCCTTCCAGCCCAACTTTTCCTATGATCCTATGAACATTAAACAAAAATCCTAAAGTCAAGGCAGGGTGGTACCTTGGAGACAAACTTGTTAAAATAAAAAGATTTCTGGTGAAACTATGTTTTAAAATCCATTGAGTCTTATTTTTTACCTTTGCATATGCTGAAATAACTATTGTTCCATGATGTCCCCATAACTATCACTTTTACCTTACTGAAACCTCATCATCCTTTCAACCTCACTAACCTAACACAAAATGTTGCTTCTCACCTCCATGCTTCTGATTTGTTTCATATAGGCAAGAGAAAAAGATGACTCCTAAAATTATATATTCTCTGGTGACTACAATAATTAAAGGATTGTGGTAATGTTGGAAAAATAAGAAATTCAGTCCTACACATTGTTGCCATGTACCAAAACATAAGAATACATTTTGAGGGTACATATTTTGAAAAATTCTCATTGCATTATTTCTTCTACAGTATTTTTCATAAGCCAAATAGTCACCACTTTACTCATATTCCATGTCAACTAAGTTTACTCCAAAGCCCACCTGCGATTCATTATTTCAAGTACTAAATACCTGGCTGGTAGTTTGTAAATAAAACTTTGGCCATCTTCTGTCCATATGATCACTTTATCAGCCGATACAAAGTCACCGCCAGCCCAGGTCTGTCCATTCTCACTGGGAGCTGAACATAACAGGGAATAATCTCCAGCATCAAACACCTAGGAAGAAACAAATTTATACAAAAACAGTTTCCCATGAGTTCTCCATTATTTTTTTTTACATATCTGGATAGCAGTTCATTTAATATTCTAAATACCTCTGTTTCTTAGGAGCATTAAAGTAGCTTAGCTTACAGCAGAATTTACTTAAGATATTTAGCACATTTATTTCATAAGAGATTCAAGAAAAGTATTATAAAAGTTGTCTATGAAATGTAACAAGAAACAAGATTACAAACTTTATAAATAAGGCATAGAACTATTTTGCATATTTCAGTGCCATACAAGGCAGCCATAATGACTATCCATCAAAGGATTTTTAGTTAATGTTCAAACCACAAAGCAGCACTGTCAATGCAGAGAGCCAATAAACTTCTAAAAAATTAAACACACAATGAATTGAGAATGCTAATTGATTTAAAAACAGAATTTTCCAAGCTTTATTTTTGTAAGCACTTCACTGACAGCTTAAAACAAAACAGCTTCTATTGACAGAAACCAGCTTTCAATTAACTGGTTATCCTTACCCTCCAGTACTTTGAGCATACTACCAAAAGAGATCTCTGCGTAAATGCACAAAAGGAAATGCTTTGGCAGTTCTGACAATAAATTGGTTTAGACTCCTCTTCAAATATTGGCTCTGTATCCTAAAAGAGAAAAAAGTTACATTTAATGAAACATGCTAATGTTTCTAGAATGGTCCCACTTATATCCAGAGTTCTCAAATAGCACTTTATAGACACACTGAGCAGCAAAGTGCTTCAGATATACAAACTTCTCTTGGACTACACTGTAGTAGCAACATTTCTATAAAGTTTCAAGGAAGGACAAAATAAAAAAAAAACTGGCAGGAAATGTCCAAGTCTTCCAATTTATAAAAATGCATTCAGTATAAATGCTTTACTAAAACAAATACCTAAGTAAGGGGGTGCTCTGTAAAGTGTGTCTTAGCTAAAAATTCAAACAGGACCAAGTTTATTGATTATATCAAAACTGAAAAGGTAGCAAGTAAACAGAAAAACAGAATCAAACTATGAAACTATATGCATAGATTAAAGCAACAGGAGCTGCTGGCAACTATGCAAGATTCAAGTACGCAAAGTCTTACGCTAGGAAGAAAAATGGAGATTAAAAATTATTTATCTCTGACATTTTGTTAGTTTAATTTTGTCGCCCTGATATTGCCCTAGTACTGCTTTTCATACAAGCAAACGTTAGAGTTAGCACAGAGAAGCAATAGACTCCAGATCTGTAAAAATGTTCCTAAGAGTACATGTTCTTAGGTAGTCCATATTAAAGTTTGAGAACCACTGGTATAATCAGCTTTAAAAATCTTACCCAGATTTTTAAGATCACATAGATTATTTACAAGCCTAAACCCTAGCTAGACATTTTTTAAACTATATTTTCTGACAATGATAAAAGTTCATTAGCTAAACTGTAAGAGAAAAGGAATAGATAAAAAAAAAAAGCAAACCAATTAGGAACATTATTTCCTGACACAGCACTTCAGGGTTTGTAACACCTTAAATCACCAGAAGAATTTGGCGATAGGTCTACAATTTCTTTGGGGCTACATCAGTATCAAATCACAAAAATCATATTATTTAGGATATTCTTGAATGCTTGGCAATCTGCAAATAAAAGACCCTGACCTGAAACACCAGAAGAGGTGCAAAGCCTTGCGGGGAATCTTAAAAAATGACATATCTGTGCATTTTCCTGACTCTAGCTAATATCATAAAAGTCTCCTTGCTTTCATAAAAACTGAATCTATTAAGCTAATTCAAGGATTTAAAAA